TCAATTCAATTTATAAGTTAAATTCTTCATATTCTTTTATTTCGATTTAGGTTTTTATTTAAATTATAATAAGTTTATACAAAAGAGTTACATATTTATAAGAGTGAGTCAAATGTTAAAATATATATTACTAATATTATGCGCTAAGAACCGTTACCACAAAGCGACAAACTTCTTTCGATTTACTAGTATTTTGATTTAAAAATTTTAACATTGAAATCTTTAAAACAAATATTAATTATTATGTATTCTCAGCAGAATAATGACAATATTTTGTCCCTACTTGCTTACATATGCATAAAATATTTCGTTCCTAGAAATAGCTTTTAAAAAACGTCCGTATACAAAAACAGGATTCGTATATAAATTCATTTACAAACATACATATAAACATATGTATATAATGAAATGCAATTTTAAATGCAAATTCTTTCCATATCTTTTTGGCACAGCAAGACGTGAGTCCTGAGTGAAAGTTTAATATATGCATGTACTTATTGTGTTTATGCATAAAACAAAAATAAAAAATCAACTTTTTCAGTATCTAAATTTTCTATAACAGACTAATCGTAAAGAATTTGGCAATATTTTTGACAAGAATAAAAAATAAACAGTTTTAACATTTCAATGTGCTGGCGATTAATATCCCTAAATAGCAAAACTACATTTACCGACTTAGTAGTTACATAAATAAAATTCCAAATGCATTTCAAAAATTGCGCAGTTATAAATTTACTTAGAGATTCTTTCTGTTTAAAGATCATCATCCCCAATACCTTCGAATGCCTCATTGTGGACAGACTCTTCAGCACCATTACGAAAGAAAACTGCAGAATACGAACTCGAACTGGATATTTTTGGATTGAATTTCGTGCGAGTACGTTGAGTGAAAAATTTAACAGGTGCAGTTGGCGATGATGAAGAAGATGAACTTGACGTGGTAGTCGCTGTTGTTGCAGCTGATGATGACATTAACTCTGTGGACAAAGATGGTGTGGAAGCGGATGACGTTAATGTCGGTCGAATATGTGATACTCTTCCGTTTCGTGAAACATATGAAAGCAATTGGGATTGAGAAATTTCTCTAACTCGTGCATTCAAACCATCAACAGTATCTTTACAATTCAGCAATTCATCAACCATTGATTGTAGACAAACCGACATAAGCATAGCTTGTGAACTTGTTATGGTAATCCATCGCAAAGTCTGTTTGGACATTAAGTATTCAAAAGCAAGCTGTAAATTTGTTGGCGATTTTCCGTAATTACTTGCATTTTCATCGGTACTGTTTGAAATTGATGAATCTATGGTACATGTGTTATGCATAGCTGTTACCCGCCAGCAACGCATTCGTGTTACACGAAATTTAGTCTCATAAATTTTCCCAGCTTTTGCAGTACGCATACTTAACTCTTTATTTCCAATGGATATAAGTGCTGTGGTTTTTGTTTCCGGATAGTCGATAAGTGACGCACTGAATTGCAAGCACCCGTAAAGTGGTAATTGTCGTGCCATCTCTATGTACTCTGTTTGCATCCCGTGTTCTTGCAAACTAGATAGCTTCTGTAAAACTTCGGGAGGGGCAATTATCCATTCATTATCTATGTCGCATACAATTTGTGCAAAAAGCAGTTTTAGAGCAACCTGGTCATGCAATAATCCCAAATCATATGTGGGATTCCAATAGCTTTTGCGAATCATTACTTGGCACGATAAAGTCTTCTCTTGCGCCCATAAACGTGATAAATAGGGTGATTCGAAGTCCATTAATCGTCTTAATAGCACCAATTTGTTTTGTGTAATATCACTGTTTTGCCGTCGCACCAAATATAGACAAAAATGTTGCATAAATTGTGTGGGCAGTTGTACACATTCACATACTTTACGCAATACCGTGCTAGCATTATCGCCAATATGACAATTGACCTGCAGGGTGAGGTCATTTGATAGCCACACCTCCAAAACAGCTGACACACGCTTAAGATCGCTACCACTATAATCCAGCCCTAAAATACCATCGGCTAAAGAAGTTTCCTGTTGTGCATTCAGCAGATAACTTTGAAAATTATCCATTTTCGAAATGACGGCATCTTGTCCACATAATTGCAAATAATGTTCTAAAGAAGCCCTTCTCGATTCTAGTTGCCCATTAGTTAATGGTAGCAGACGCTTTGGAGGGAATGTCGCAGGCAACTGGATATTGAGATCTGCACACCTACGACGAAGCTGTTCGTGCAGTGCATGCAATTGTTTGTACCTTAAACAACAATGGTAGCTGCCATTTATATATATATTGTAGCCTGTGTAGGTGGTTCCAGTTAACTCCGAATATAATTCTTGCGTATCCGGAATGGAGAAGTGCATGTCTTAGCCAAAGTTTCTGTTACTACAAGTTTTATTCTCTGCTCAATAGACCAAGCCGAAGTTTATATTTCTTATCACTCTTATATTTACATGAATATTATTAAGTTCTATGTATGAAATTAATATTTTATTAAAGTTTAATATTAGTCACAGTCAATCACTCTTCTTTCTAATTAATTAATATTTGGGCTTTTGTTGTTTTCCTGACTTTTTATTTCGTTCTTTCTTTGTTGCGACCATCCAGAGTTGTCAAGTAAGCTTAAGCTAATTAGAAGTAATAAATATTGAAAATTTGTTAAATCTTGAAATAGTTCTAATAAATAAAAAGTTATATACTTACTCCCGATCTGAAAACAATTCATAAAGTAATTATCAAAAAGAAAAAGAAAACATTAAGTAATTATGAAAACTTCATAAAGGCATCAATTATAAATATACGTTCTCTGGCATCAATGGTTTCTTTTTTATCAGAAATACTACCCTGATGATGAGAAGAAATTAACCATAACCAAAAAAGTAAAAATGTAAACAAACGCGAATTGAATTAAAATATAGCTCCAATTACCATGAACACATTAAATATCGAGTTATTACCTCAACAAAGACCGCATGCAAATATTTTAAGCATTTTTGAAAACGAAAGGGCAACCCCTCATGGATTTGTGCCTGTCAGTGCTCCAATGGTGCGATACAGCAAGCTGGAGTTTAGGCGGTTAATTCGGCAGTATGGGGTACAACTTGCCTTTACCCCAATGGTTATTGCAGATTCCTTTATACATAGCCAAAAGGCGCGCGATAATGAATTCACAACATGTTTAGAAGATTTTCCAATTATATCACAGTTTGCTGCACGCGATGCGTATGAGTTTTCTGTTGCTTCTCAACTAATATACCCATATGTTGATGGTGTTGATTTGAATTGTGGCTGTCCACAGTCATGGGCTATATCCAAAGGATATGGTTGCGGACTTCTACGACACCCAGAATTGGTTCGTGATATTATACAAACCACTAGACGTCTTTTACCACAAAGTTTTAGTATATCGGTAAAACTACGTTTACTTAATGGAGTTCCAGAGGAATCTATTAGATCTACAGTAGAATTGGCAAGACAACTGGAAAAATGTGGGGCTACATTTTTGACAATCCACGGCCGAACAATGTGGCAAAAAACATCGGATCCCCTGAACATTCCCGCTATGGCTGAGGTAAAAAAATCAGTTCATATTCCGCTTGTCGTCAATGGAAATATACGTAGCTGGCAAGATGCGCAAGAATTGCATGACCAAACAAAAGCTGATGGTGTTATGGCAGCTCGTGGATTGCTTTCAAATCCAGCACTATTTGATAATAATATCGAAGAAAAAGAAACGCCAATTGAATGCGTGCAAAAATGGTTAGATATCGCAACTCGAGCCGGTGATAACATACATTTCCAATGTTTTCATCACCATCTAACATTTATGTGGAGTAGCCATATGAAACGTAAATTGCGTTTGGAATTCAACAACTTCACTAAAAAGCAACAAGTGTTCGATTTTTTTGAAGAGCGTTACGGTTTGAAGCCGCAAGGTACAAAACATAGCAATCCCTTTGATTATACCAAGTGTGTTTATCCGCCAGTGTCATATCATTCTACAACTAATACAAAAAATGTCGAAGAATCATTTGGGGGACAGACATGGAATGAAAACTCAAATGGAAAATATTTTAATGAATTTAAGGAAAAGTTGTCGGAGACGGAAACACGATGCGACAGCCAACATGAGGACGTTGCTTTAGAAGGAAGCTTTTTCACGCAATTAGACTGATTACCATTTAATGCGTGTATATTCAGGAGAATGGACTGTGTTAAATTAAGAGAAATACATAAAACAAATTTTTATTTAATAAGAATATACAATATTTTTTATATGCGAAAATTTTTTAAAAATGTTATATTGTATATTAAGTTGGTTTTTAACACCCATGAAGAAATATCGGAGGCCCTATAAAATATACAATACATATAAATGATCAAAGTGACGAGCTGACTCGATTTGATCATATCCGTCTGTCTGCATACATATATGCAAACAACTCCCTGAAATTTTTAACTTCGCTTGCCCCTAAGAAAGTGCTCATTTCCCGCAAGCGCCGATATCAGATTATTAAAGCTAATATATGGGTGCCCTGCAAACTGACTGAACAAAATGAAAATCTTGTATACACAACTCTTCCCGGAATCTGGTATAAATACTTATCCAAGATAACGAAATAATCGTTGAAGATATAGTTCAGATTGGGACATTATAGATTTTATGTAGCTACTTAAAAACGACCGACCAAATCCAAGTTGTTAAATACAAACTTGTAATTGTGAAGGGTATTATACTTTTGTTTGTTTACGGGTTTTCTTATTTCGTACTGAAAATGCAGTATTCGACATAATAGAATAATATAATCGTTTTGTGTTATATATGTATTAATTATTTTTTTACAATATTGCAGCTTAAGAATTGTTTTCGCAGGAATTTAAAATTGAAAGAATGGAAAATGTTATAAACTTTCGCTGTCTATAGCACAGTAAATAGTATGCAGAGATCATACTATTTGAATGCAACCCTTAAGTTATTGATTGCATACTTTTCGAAACGAAAGTAGGAAAACTATTTATGGAAGAATTCCGAAACGAACTAGATAAAGAAAATTATTTATAAAATTCTAAGTTAAAGGCTGAAGCTATTATATATTTTTGAATTTGTAGAAGGAATTGCCGATGAACAAACTTCTTGAAGTTGTACTTCTATCTCTTTTGGATTGATTGCGTTGTTTTTGTAAGGTAGAAGAGATCAAGTGTGTGATAAATACTGACAAAAAGGAATGTAGATAAAAAATTGGGCACAGAAGAAAAAATAAATTTACAATAAACAAAGCGACGGAGGAAAGAGTGTGCAAGCAACTTGGGAGTGCAAAAACAGCACCAAAATTCAACGTCGACTATATTGTTTGATATTTGAAGTATTTTAATTAAAATTCAGAATAAGTTTAATGCAGCGAAGGATATAAAAAGGCACTACGTAGTTCGCATAAAAAGTAAACTTTGCGTATAGTTTAAAGAAGAGCACAAAGAAAATTGTATGTGCAGTTGTATTGGCGCATAAAACGTATAAATAAATAATAAATAGTGAACGCTCCTGATAAAGCAAAATACCTACAATGGATCGCAATAACGGGTAAGTTAATAATATTTTCTCTAAAATAAAAAAATTTTATTTAGTATGCCGTGGAAGTATTTGGCAAGAATCTACAATGAAAGCGGAATATGCAAAATGGTGCCAAGGCCTTTAACCACCAACTCCGTTGAGACTCTTTTAGATTACTCTTAAGCACCATATCTGCTACGATGAGTTTGTAATTGACAAATGTATTAATATGTGAACGCATTTAAAATTAATCAACTACATGTTCATATGATAAATGTTTACATTTTCATGTTGATTTTTAAAGCTTAGTGCTTAATATAACGCGTTTAAAACCCTACAGTGAAAACGAAAAATATCGCTTTGAAATTTGTTGTTTTCGGTGTTTAAATGTCAGCTAATAACGCTTCTTGTGTTAATAGAAACACAGACGACGTTGATCACGCGCATTTGAAAGTGAGAACATTTTGAACGAATGTAAATCAAATGCCAAGAATCCTTACTTTGGTTTTCGCAAATTTACAAGTGTACTTGTAACAAATTGATTTAAACTCACTTGACCTCATAAATAATCAATTTGAATTTACAATATGTTTAAAACTAAGCAAAAGACGGTATATAAATACACTAAATAAAGAAAAAAGTTAGTATGGCACCTATTTGCAATAGTCCTCGGTTCCGACTTGAGAAAATTATGGGTTCAGTTCGTGTATATTCATACTGACGGCTACGGCTAAATAAGTTCATCGCACTGAATCTTTATACATGTACATATATAATATAATCTCTTGTACTAGAATTTCAAAACATTCTCATTCAGGAAGTACTTGCATAGTACCAGTTATTTCTGAATGCGTTAAGCGCAACAAAAGCAGATAAGTTAAATTATGCGGTTACAAGTATTTTCGTTTTAAAGTATACCAAGATATGTTTATAATTTTGATAAATATGTAAATATTCATGTGTGCGTGAAAAGCAGATATAATATATGTTTCGATATATTTACAGCTCTAATCGCTACACACCAATCCGACGCGCAGGCCAGCAACAACATCAATCAAATTCGTTATCATCACTTTCATCATCGAATAATAATCAACATCAACAACATTTAGATAATCATCGCAATAATTCGTCACAATATTCAACGACCAATCATAGCGCATATTCACCACAATCAACAATGTCCCGCGAACCGCTCACACAACATGACGAACTGATTCGATATATCAGGGAAGCATGGACAAAGGTAATTTTTATAAACAAAGTTTGTTTAGGAATGAATTGTTTGGAAAATACAAGGTTAAGACATTAAAATAAAGTAGGTGTCGGGCTGGCATAATAGCATTTTCAAAACTTACCTCATATAAATTTAATAAATGGGAAGGTGGTTGAATTGAATCGAATTCATGGTAAGAGTAATCATGGTAGTCCGAATAATTAACTTCGTTACAGAACTCGTCTCGATTACTCGGTTGAATTATTTCAGACGTATTATTGAACTCGGCAAAATTTTCATCATATTCACCGTCAGTAGATTCGACACCTACATATCCGTAATCAGAATGTGCATTATTCATTGTACCAGCCAGAGACGTGTTAACTGATGTCGAATTCGATACTGATAGCGATGTTGGTGCAAATGACCAAGAGGATGTTGATGGACGCCTGTCGAATTTGCGTTTACGTCTTCGAGGCATTTTTACGTTTTAATAATATTGAGGCACCTGCCTATTTATATTTGAATATAAACTTCAATTCGAATGTACGTTGAGTTTGTTTTGATTTCTATATTATTATTATCCGTTCTCTATGGTTGAATTTCGCTTGATTTGTTCTAATGACTTTTTAAATTTACATATTGTTCTCAAATTGACGTGATTACGTTGGCATGTCGGTGGCCGTTAGAATTTTTTAAAACAATTTATATAAGAAGATTTGAAAGAAAGCGCGAATTTTTGTAAATTACGTGAAACAAGAAACAAAATATTTTTGACTGAAGTCAGTTAGTTGTAACTTGTAAAATTGTTTTTATATTATTGCCACATTTGTTAAAATTACAGTAAATTTATTTATAGATAATGCTTAGAATAGAGCCAAGTGCTATTGTGCATCTTAATGAAACCCGTAACATTATACAAACATCTTTATTATTTTGTGATTATCACTGTAAAATTAAGTAAATTTATTTTCTTCTTACAGGTAAATGAACAGAATACGCCCGTAAATTATTGTAATGAGTCGGATCATCAACTAAAAAATTTCAAACCATTTAATTTGGAGGAGTACTGGGACCAGCGGCATTTTCAAAATATTCGTGTATCACACGGACAACAATAAGATAATAGAAATTTATGCAGCAACAACAACAGTCGTACAACAAATTTTCCTTGTTTTATATGTTCTGTGTTGTTAGGCATGCATTGAAAAATTTTATTGTAATACTACAAGTAACATAATCGCTACATAGAACTATGATGTATTTCCATTATTGAGAAATTATCTGAAATTTTCTTCAAAAATCCCGGATATTTAAGCAAATACTTATTTGAAAGTAAATTGCGATATATAGTAGTTGTATTTCTCAAAGCTGAAATTCTCGTTACATGGTAGTTAAGAAAGTATATTTAATTACAATTTAGTAATTACAGAAAAGAAAAAAAAGTTACGAAACGAAAAACCAAAATTAAGTTATTTAAAGTAAAATAGAGTCGTATGAATCGTTCATTCTATCAATTAAAAGATTTCGCAATAATATTATTAAATAAAAAATACGTGGAAGGGAATGCAGACGAAATATTTCAAAATTACAATTAAAGGCAATAAAAAATATGTGAACAAACATGTTGGCTTTTCCTTTATCATATAGAGAAAACTTGAATATTATTATCAATATTCATACAGATGTAGAAACGCATTTCATGTGCCATGAATTGATGATTAAATGCAGGTCTTTTATCCTTAAATGGTCATTGGATGTACTTAACTTTCAGTGTGGTAGTAATGCAGAAATAATAAAAAAAAAAACAAGAAAAAATCGGCTGCACCGTACTAATAATACCCTTCACAAATAACAAAGTTTCCATCCAAGAATTTGATATGCGCAAAAATGGTTGCATCCATTTCTTCCGATATTATACTATTGCTCCAGATAATAATCCTAGATATCTTGTTAAATGAAAAAGTTATTCTAATGCAGCTATATGCTATAGTGGTCCGATATTTGCGGTTTCGACAAATTAATAGCAAGAACGTGTTCAAAACTTCAGACCGACATCTCAAACACAGAAAGAAGTTGGTGTATATACATATATACATGGACGTGGTTAAATCCACCCAGTTCATCACGTTGTTGATTTACGAACATAAATATATGCACATATAAATTTTAGTATCCGATCATCCTCTTTGGTCGTGGTAAACGTAATCTGTTGATTTTATGTACATATATATTTATTCTGTGGCTTCGCGTCTATAAAATTAGAAGCTGCCCTAATGGTTTTTGTTTGATCATAAACAATAGAAAAAAACAATATTTCAAAATATTCTAAATTAAACCTAAGCGATTATAAAATTTGCAAGGAATTCAATACCTAGCATTTCATATTATTACTTTCATGTCGACTTTCCACACCAATCAGCTATATTTGATATGTACTTTTATATAAAAAAACATTTATTTTTTCTTTTTATTATTATATATTTTTTTGGAATAAAAATACTCCCCCATGTACACCAACAAAATCTCCCGGAGTCAACGGGTTAGCCAATAATTTAAAATTCTTAAACCATCTTGCGCAGCAATTTGTTGATTTTGTCTTCACGGTTACCGAAATCACCACCCTCAACGTAGTGATTAGCCTTCTTGCGCCAACCGCCGGTTGGAGTGTTCAGTTTGAATGGCCATAAGAAGTTGGAGGCTTTCTTGAAGTGTGGGCCAACGGTGAAGATTTCATGTACCAAATCCTCAACGCACTGAATGTCATGGGCTTTACGCAATTTACGTTCAATCACGAAGTTGTCGGTGATGGGAACACGTTGACGGTTGTGCTTGACAAAACCACGTTTGTAGACCAATTCGCGGACAGATTTCAGATTTGGGTATCCCCATGTAATGTAGGGTTCAGCAATGCGCAACATATTAATGGTGGCTTTGTTCAATTTGATGAAAACACCATTGTTAATCTGACGCAGACGGAACAACTGCAAAACTTTACGCACTTTGGGGGCAACTTTGTTGATACTAGCAAAAATGAAAGAAACACATTGAGTATTTTGTTTATGCAAAAATATCATATTAAAACTCACCCACGAATACGGATAACAAAAGCCAATTTGGATTCAGCAGGCACGTAGAATTGACCTCGTTTCTTGGCCAAACGGCGCAACTTGATCTCACGACGGTCAGCACGCAGATATTCGGCTTGGTATTTCTCGGCACGAACCAAGTTTTCACGTTTGCGTAGCGCAATGACAGCAGAACGCTTCAATTTACGCTTGATCAAGACAGCACGTTTGCTGACTTGTTTCTTGCTGAACTTCAGCTTCGACTCGGGGACAGCGGGTAACTTCTTGGCAGATTTGCCCTTTGCTTCGGGCTTCTTGGCGGCTGCGGTGGCAGTCATCTATAATGCAAGGATACACGAACATTTTAAGAAGAATTTAATTTAGATTTCCATGCATTTGAAGTGAAAAATCGCAAAAATCACAAAAATCACAAAATCTTTCGCTAACCTTAACTTGTCACTTAGCACGTTGAAAGAGGAAAGAAAGAAAAGAAAACGCGAAAGGAAGTATAGCCGTGTTGGCTGCGATTCAAATTGACATTATATGTTGGCTGTCCTGACGAACAAAGTATATGTCAATAAACAAATTGGGAAAATGGTTTGTGCATATGCTAATTAAATAAAAAAGAAAATGTTTTCTAAAATATCTCTATATAAATTATTGTACTGTTCCAGAGAGCAAATTTTGACTATTAAATTATAATCTTATACTTAATCGCTTACTTTATTGGCACGTAGGTGAAAGCACAACAATTTTTTAATTAGTATATTTGTAATTTATAAAAATGCTGTAGTATTTCTGTTGTGCAGCTTAATGGACATCTACCACTCTGAACGCATTCTTATTTGAAGAGTCGCTTTTTTGCTATCCGAGTCTACTTGTGTGAAACCACTCAAAACAGCTGTTTTAAGCAATTTGGTACATTTTTGATTCATATATCTGGAAATTAATTTCTTACTTAATTAAATTGTCTATTTCGGTGATAAATTTAATATTATATTAAAGTTAAGATATATTCTTTAAAATATGTCTTTGGAAATTCCTTCAAATCCTGTTTATAATACAAGTGTAGAACAGAAGCTTCATTCGAAAAATGCCGCCAAAGTATATCGTTACGGTTCGCCAAAAATTCGTGACCAATTGCGTGATGTTAGTAAATATAATAGCTTTCCTTTGTTTTACTTATTAAATATATTTAATTTAGAAATGTCGCATGCGGGTGCGTGAAGCTAGGCAAGCCAATTTCACTAAACGGCGTTTAGCAATTGTAACAGAAGAGGTTTGTTTTTTAATAGTTTGGAATTTTAGTAATACTATAGTTTTATTAGCAATTTAATATTTTGTATTATTAATAATTAGTTCGACTTGGATAAGCTGTTGCGAGAAGAAGTTGCTAATTTAGAAAGCGACTTGCGTTTGCAAGAAGAAATTTTCAAAGAACTGCGCGATGAAATGAATGAATGGTTTGTACAGGAATTCGAAGCAGAAGAAATATCGCTAATAAATGCCGCCGATGAAGATGCAAATAACAATTCAGTTATTTGTCCCATTTGCCAACAATGCAATCTTTCCCATGTAATCGCAAAAGAGAACGAAGAAACTAATATTTTCAAGTGCACTTGTGGAGTGAGGTAGGATTTATTTAAAAAGTACACTTTTTAAAAGTTATTCGATATACATGTGAGTATATTTTCCAGCTTTAATAATGCGGCTAAGCCTTTGGCCCTACGACAAATACTACACTCGCAAATAGATGTGCATGAGCAAAATTGTGATGCCAATCTCACCTTCTATTTGGAGCCGCAAAGCGCATATGCTGTAGAAACTGATGCAAGTGTCAACAGTCTTTGTGTTATTTGTGATAAATGTGATTACTTTTATAGCTTCTAAGTGTTTAATAATTAACAATTATTTTTTCTATTGATGAATTATACCAAGGCAATAGTATGTAATTGAAAGATAATACTCGCCATAATTAGAAATTAATAAGTGAACTGAGTAAAAAAATTTAAATTTATGTGCATTTAAGTATTATCGGCATCAGAATATTGTAATTTTAATGATTACCTCTACAAACTATGTTTAAAATGAAATATATAATAATGGGAAACACACTTGTATATCGTTGTATTAATAAAGTACTTTATGTTGAATTATTTTATTATATTTCACCAAGGCTGTTTTATCTATTTCTTTTAGGCCAAATATAACATAAATACATAAATTTTAATTGAATGAACGAATTTAAAAAAATGGCACAATTAAAATAATGAATAAAAAATGTATTTAAGATTTCTTTGCATTTATTATCCCTTTTAATCAAATAAATTGTTTTCACTTATTTACCGTCAAATGAATGATCAACAGTGGGTATGGTGACAAGGTATTAAGATAATGAAAACAATGAACCGAAATATATGTACATATGTTTAAAAAAGGAAAGTAAACAACTAGTCGAGAAAGAATAATAATCGGTAGCATCTCTTGTGTAAATAATGTGTAACGTTATCTGCTTGAATTCTTTATGCTTTAACCAATCTAAAGACATCAACATCAGTGGTGATAACAAGATAAACTGCTTAAGAAAAATATATCACACATAATTGTGTACTATATACAGCTTTTGAAGATTCATGTCCCCATTAACAATACACTCGCTGTATTCATATATTCATAAGTGCATTCACTTACCTACAAATGTTGTATGTACATATGTACATACATATATACTGAAATAAATTCATATATTTTTATGAATATCACCAGAAAATCACTTGGCATGATCGCATGAAAAGTTATCCTGAATTCAATAACTATCAACGTTTGATGAGAGCAGATGATCGACGGATTGCTGCTACAAGTCTCTCATGGGGTAAATAAACAGATTAACGAGCTTAAAGAGTTATATCGCACGTATATATAATTGTACATTTATGTCAGTGCCTTCTTCCGTCTCTTGGAGATACAATTTAAGTGTATGTATGAATGCATATGTGTTTAGATGCGCGAGCATCTTCAGTCACTCACATGTTTCTTCAACTCAGTGGCGGCTGTGGCATCTTCGAAATGTTTGGGCCGCTTTGTTTCAGAAATGCCGTGTCGATCGGCGGCAACGCACGCGAATTTCGGTTCAACAAAGTCATAAAAGGGGTATTTTAAATTCGAGTACATTTTCATTTTTTTTTTGCACAAGAAAAACGCAAAAATAAAACAGTTTTATTAAGAAAAAATAAACAAATATTTAGCGGTTTCCAAAATTTGTACATACTAAAATACACAGTGTGGTGTAGTAGTAAATATCTTGCCGCACACGAATAATGGCTATTGGCAGTAGTGCGCGTCTGGAAATCAACAAAATTCATATTTTTATTTAAAGTGTGTATGTGTCTGAAATTTGGTTTATAAAAGAAAATGTTTTTGTGGAATCTTTGCAAATTGTTTAATTCGATGGAATGACAGCATGTATTTATATAAAGTACACTATAAATAGCATTATTGAATCATAATAATTTAAAAAATTGTTTTAATAAAA